ATGGACTAAAGCTTTGGGTAATTTTGGCTACTGAAAGGCTTGACTGCTTACCTACATCCCAATAGGCCATAGTGCCCAATCCAGCCTTCTAAAATTATGTCCTAATTCACCACTGTCATCAGAGATAGTGGTGAATTAGGACAGGGTTTATACCAGGCTGGAATGGGCACTGTGGCATTTTGGTCTTTTTGCAAGCAGTCAAGCTTTTCAGTAGCCACAGCATTAGCATTAGTCCATAGCTGTAGGTAGTGAGAGTTAGTCAGGATATTGACCCCCCCCCCCATATACACTCCTCCGTCCAGACAAGAGGAATTTGTAACAGCAGAAAACATATCTGTTGTTTGGTGACATGGTTGGTTATCTCCTTTTGGATGGAGGTAACGACATATACCCTCCAGGACTATAATAGCACACTTAGAGGTGTTCTGCGACTTCTTCATACTCCTTATATTATATGTTTTATACAGATGTCTAATAAGGGTTATGCTTTAGGCCAGGCCTTGAAATTTCCACTCGCCTACTCGCATTTGGCGAGTGGAAATAATGTGGGGGCGAGTGTGTGCTGATACTCTGCACAAGACAGGAGACAGACAGCGGCACGCTGGACTGTATATTATTCCACAGCGAGGAAGAAGCAGGCGGGCCATGAGCTCCACTGACTCTCTGACCAATTCTAGAGCAGTGGGTGGGCTTCACTCTTGTGTACGGGGACAAGATGGGTGTGACTTGGCATGCAGTGGCCACTCTGATCCCGAGAAATGGACCCCAACATTTCACCCCGTATGGCACTGCTGTTCCTGTCCCTGAAGGAGGGATGAGGAGCCCAGGTACTCGGGGAGAGGACGGAGGACACTCCACTCGGTAAGAACCTCTCCAGGGCCCCGAACTGTGGATCTTTGTGCCGGGACACACCATCATTGTGTGTGGACTCAGCATTTGTATCAGTGGTTGAATTGTACCCTATCTGTATCAGTAAAAGGGACAATTCCCCATGCTTGGTGTCAATGGGAGGAATGGTGCCCCATCATTGGTGTCAGTGGGAGGAATGGTGCCGTGTCAGTGGGAGAAATAGTATCCCACTGTTGGTGTCAGTGGGAGAAGTAGTGCCCCATCGTTGGTGTCAGTGTTAGGAATAGTGCCCCATCATAGGTGACAGTGGAAGAAATAGTGCCCCATTGTTGGTTGGTGTCAGTGGGAATAGTGCTCCTTCGTTGGTGTCAGTGGGAGGAATAGTGCTTCATTGTTGGTGTCAGTGGGAGGAATAGTGCCCCATTGTTGGTGTCAGTGGAAGGAATAGTGCCCCATTGTTGGTGTCAGTGGGAGGAATAGTGCCTCAGCTTTGGTATCACTAGGAGAATTAGTGCCTCAGCATTGGTGTTCCTATTGATGTAAAGCACTTATTTTCCTTTTATGTTTACATTGTTGTTGGTACTATTTATTTTTGTAATTTCTGAATAAAACATTTAATAGTGTAATTTAACTGCTCTCCCACCACCCTATTGCAGAAATCCTGCTACAGGGCAGCAGGAGTGTGCAAAATCACGTATATATATATACGTGATTTTGCATTTCCGGGTAGGGGGCATACACGGGCCGCACGCGCGCCCTACCTGCGGCACCATTTGCTGTCAATCACCGGGTCCCAGCCGGTGATTACTCAACGGCACATGGTGATTGCCAAGTACTACAAATTGGGGAGAGAACTGTATGTAAACCACGCAGATCTCTCCCCTGTCAGCACAACAGAGCCATACAAAGCAGTGTGCTTACAGTGGAAAGCACAGAAACAGCCCCATAATAATTCACACCCAGCACACAGTTAACCTTTTGATCTCCCCAGATGTTAACCCCTTCCTGCCCAGTGCCATTAGTACAGTGTCAGTGCTTTTTATTAGCATTGATTACTGTATTGGTGTCACTGTGGATGTCAGTGACACCAAGTCAGTTCCCCCCAAGTCAGTGTCAGAATGCCCACCGAAGTCCTGCTATAAGTCGCTGATCGCCGCCATTACTAGTAAAAATAAGATTAAAAGAAAAAAATCCCAGTAAATATACCGCCATTTGCAAATGCTATAACTTACACGTAAACGAATTAATTTGCACATATTGGGACATGTAGTAGAATACAATTTGGTGTAAATTTATTAGATTTTTAAAAATTTTTTACTGGACATGTTTAATAGCAAATTTGTCGGTCTTTTTTTGTTTTTAAACTGACATACTAAAGCTAATTGCATTTTTTTTTTATATTTTGGACTCTTTATTCTAAAGAAAAATGTAATTTCATAAGCTTTAAGGGGGCGTGGTTGGGGGCAGGGATGGGCAGGGTTGGGGGACAGGACGGGAGGAGGTTGGAGGTGGACCTGGGCAAGGTTGTGTGGAGCAACTGGTGGAGAGTAAGGTTTGTGCCTGGCTAGTAGGTCTAGACTCAAAATTTTAAGCCCTGCTTTAGGCCATGGTGGGTTTAGCGCATCACTGTTCTTTATTGATTAGTATTACCCACAAAAGGCCAGTCTACATAGTATATTTATACATTAGGCCACCTTTTATTTCCTCAAATGAGGGACAGTCTCTCCAAATGAGACAGTCAGGAGGTATGCTTATATAGCTGAAAGCTATACGTATGTAAACCCTTGAACCCAGAGGAACAACAGTCTTCTTCATAGCTTGACTATCTTGTGATGCTATTATAAATATAATGCATTGCTGTTAATTATATCACTTGCCAGTAATATTCTTTGTTTTTCTTAAAAAAAAATTTATTTCAGCAGTTTTATAATGAGTTCTAATTTACCAGTTAATAGATTAATTATTTTCCAATAAATTACAAGTAGATTTAAAAAAAAATCAATGGGGTTAGGAGTTTGCCAAGCTGTTAAGTACACAATTGAAGCATAAGACTAAACATTTAATAGAGAGTGTAGTACCAGGAAAGCAGAGAAATGTGTTTGAGCTATTAGTGGCAGTGTGAGCATGTGTGGGGCAGAAACATACGGCTTTATTTACTCACCTGCTGACACTGAGCCCAAACAGAAATCACATCGATCACTGAGAATCATATTGTACAATGAACACATTGAAATGAACTTTCTGAGAACAGAAGTATTCTGCTACGCCACTTGTTTCAATTTTTTAAAATAAAAATTTAATTTTTTTTTTAATTTTGTCTGAAACACTGTCTAAAAGTGGCATGACTGGTCTCATTGTGACATATTTAAAGTGTAAGTCCATCCATTAGATTCATTTAGATCTAAAAGGTTGATGGGGGATTTATCGTTCCCATATTTATATATATATATATATATATATATATATTGTGTTGCAATCAGACATTTTTAATTAATTTACAGTGAAACACTTTTCCCCAGTCTGGTATTGGAGGGGATACCTCTCTAACTAATCCCTGGATATCAGTAAAATCCCAACCAATGTACTAGTCCTTCCCTCTTTTATCCAAGGTGTAAAAAGCAGTAGTAAACCGCATTAAAAAAACAAAACAAAAGTGGTCCCCCTGTCGTCTAATGTCATAATGCTCTAGTATGCATTGGTAATGTGCATACTAGCACATTAGGACAAACTTACCTAATAAATGGACCCCTCATAGCTGACAGGGATTTCATCTTCACCAGGTCTTCTTTTTGGGATAACAGCTCCAGCCATTTGATTGGCTGGAGCCACACATACACGCAGAAGTCTGGGCTGCGGCTAAGCTCTCTCAATGGACTGCATGCCATCCATTAAGAGCGTAGTGCGCATGCTCTGGTGATGTCACCGGCTGCTACACATTGCAATATTTCCTAAACGGTGCACTTTTAGAAGATATTTACTGTACCTACCTGTAAGCCTTGTTGCAGGCTTACCTGTAGGAACAAGGCTACTGCTTTAACATATACTTTAATAGGTCAATAAAAAGCAATGAGAGTTACATAGTTTGTCTGGTTGAAAAAAATGACATCCAGTTCAACCAATAGAAGCCGAAAAAAAAAAAACGCAATAATTTATTTACACAATTCTATACCCACTGTTGATCCAGAGGAACGCAATACCCCCCAAAAAAGCATGATCTAATTTGCTCCAGCTTGATCCCCCAAGAGGCAATGGGATATGCCCTGGATTATCTTTACCTATAAATATTAATAGCCAGTTATATTTTATGTATCTAGGAATCCAGGCATTTTTAAAAACAATCTACTGAGCTGGCCACAGCCAGCTCTTGAGGGAGTCTATTCCACATTTTCACAGCTCTTACTGTGAAGGGCTTCTTTTCATATTTGGAAATTAAATATCTTTTCTTTCAGACGTAAAGAGTTCCCCCTTATCATCTGTGATGACCTTAGTGAATAACTAAACCAAGTTCACTGTATGGACCACTTACGTATTTATACATGTTGATCTCCCCATAATCTCCTAGAGGCAAGAGAGAATAAATTCAGTTCCTCCAATCTTTCCTCATAGCTGAGCTCCTCCATGCCTCTTATCAGTTTGGTTGCTCTTCTGTGCACTCTCTCTGGTACCTCGATATCTTTTTTGTGAACTGGTGTCCAAAACTAAATTTCATATTCTAGATGAGGTATAACTAATGATTTAAAAAGGGGCAAAATGTTGTCTCTATTTTTCTGGAGTCTATACCTCTCTTAATTCGAGAAAGTATTTTAACCATCACCTGTATTGAACTGTTAAATTTTGGAAATCACTTTGTACAAGCTTAGTAAATAACTCTCAATAAGGCAGCTAGCAGGGATTACATCAACTTTTAAGGTAGAAAACATGTTATTGATAAGATTAAAGGGAAGGTAAAACTAACCTGTTTCAGCTAACTGCACAGGGGATTCACAAGACCAGAATCAGAAGGTTACTATATCATTTTCAGTTCTTAACCCCTTATACTCAATTTATTGACTTTTTAAACTATGTATTACAATATTGTAAAAAAAAGTTTATTTTTATTTTCTTTCAAGCATATGTTATGTATTTTAACATACTGTCTTCCCTGTTATTAGCTACTGAGAATGTGCAATATGGAATCAACATTGAGGCTGAACAGCTGTCTTACACTGTTGAGAAGCTTGCACCTTTTACTGACTATACAATTAGTGTGTCTGCTTTTACAACCGTTGGAGAAGGACCACCAACAGATATAGTCATAAGGACAAGTGAGCAAGGTAGTATTTAGTCTCCAAGGGTTAGTAAAAAAGTGGTTCATTTCTATTTCCTGAATATTACTTTAACATTGTAAATTTTTGTCCTTAGTTCCAAGCTCGGTAAATAACATAAGTTATTATAACATAAGTTCAACATCAGTTATGGTGTACTGGGACCCACCTATGGAGCCCAATGGGATGATAACCCACTATACAGTCTATGCAATGGATCTATATACAAGAGAGGCCTTTCACGTGATAACCAGCAACACAAGCATCCTCATACAAGGTATCACTTCTTATAAAATTGTTTAATCCTGTTTATTTTCACAAATTATTCAGCACAGAAATCATGTAGAACATTTGGGGCAATTCATTTAAATATATGTATACTGTTGACTTCACAAAAAAGGATAGAATTAGAGAAAAAAAAAACAATAAAATATCACCTTCAGTATCAGTGATAACAATGTGTTTGCCATCAACATTTTTCCATGTGATAAAATGGCAGCATCAGCGCCTCAGCATTCTTTTCATTCGAATTATATTGTCTGTCTTTTAAGAATATGTTTAGGTTTTACATTCACTTTATTATTTAGGCTTTGGGGAAGAACTAGGTCTAGGGGTACTGTCAGGGGCGGACTGACCATTTGAAAACTCGGGCACTGCCCGAGGGCCCGGGGTCAGTAGGGGGCCCCATGAGATGCCCCTGGTACCTTTTTCATAGGCTTTTTTGAGTTTGGGCAAGGACACAGGGGCCCCATGATCCCCTATTGCCCGGGGGCCCCATGAGTTGTCAGTCCGCCCATGGGTACTGTATTTTTTGACTTGGGGGATAGATTTAGTTAATTGATATGTTCCACTTAAAGCAGACCTTTACCCATAACGTTGTAATTTTTTTTTTCTTTTAGCAAGGAACATACATTCCATATTAATAGTTATGCTGTAAATTGTTTGTGTTTCTTCTTGCTGGAGGCTGCCATTTTGCTGATACCCAGAGCTCTGAGCAGCATTAAATCTTTAGGCTGTCAGCAGATTGCTCTCTACAAATTCAGCAGCGTGTTAAAAAAATAAAGAGCAATTGAGCATGCACAGAGCAGGATGAGACAGGACAGTTTACAGGTGAAACTTTAAAAATAAGTGTCCTGTCCTGGGAAATAATAAGTGTCCTGTCCTGGGAAAAGTCCCGTATTACTGGGTATTAAACAGCATACACATTTAGTTTTAAAAGAAAAGGGAAAAGTCCTGGAAGTATCCTGTCATACACCTTCTTACAAGTTTGCAGAGAACTTCCAGGATTTTTCCCTTTTCATTAGATGTCTAGAGCAGGGACAAGCTCTGTCCTTGTCTGCACTCCAAGCGGTTGCTACATAACAGGACCCAGCGGAGCTTTGAGTAGCACCTGTAAATTTATTTTGTCAATTTATTTTGTGTCACACTTATTTTTAAAGTTTCACCTGTAAAAAGAGTCAGCATGAAGTCCTGTAACAGGACTTAATTTTTTGAGTAAAGTTCCACTTTAAATTAAGGTTAATGGTTATTTTAGGGGTTAGATTCTAGGCTTTAGGAGTAGACTTAGGTTGAGATAAAGGGTTACATTTAAGGGTTTTTCAGGTGAAAAATGTTACTCCTACCTATCGCTGTGCTCCATCAGTGTTACCTATAACTGTCTCCTCCTCTTCACTTCCTCTTTCTGTAGGGGTCTCTCAAGGTTTTGTCCTTGGACCCCTTCTCTTCTCCATCTACACCTCCTCCCTTGGTCACTTGATAAACTCCCATGGCTTTAAGTACCATCTCTATGCTGATGACACACAAATCTATCTTTCTACTCCTCACCTCACCCCTTCAGTTTCCTCTTGCATTACTAACCTGCTAAGTGACATATCGGCATGGATATTCCCTACAACCTGTGCCACCTCCCCTGACTTCTCCATCAAGATCAATAATACAACCATCAGTCCCTCCCCTCATGACAGGGTATTAGGTGTAATCCTGGAGTCCCATCTGTCCTTTCAGCCCCAATTACTGTCCAAATCTTGTAGACTTCACCTCCATAACATCTCCAAGATATGCCTGTTTTTAACCACTGAAACCACTAAGCAACGTATTCACTCCCTTGTTATCTCTTGCCTTGATTATTGTAACTCCCTCCTTATTGGCCTACCTAATCACAGGCTATCCCCTCTTCAGTCTATCATAAATGCTGCTGCCAGACTCATTTACCTTACCAACCATTCCATGTCTGCCATCCCTCTCTGCCAATCCCTCCACTGGCTTCCCATTGCCCAATGAAAAAAAATTAAAAACATTAACAATAACATATAATGCCATTTATAACTCTGCCCCCAATTATATCACTAATCTTGTCTCCAAATATGCTCCTCCCACAACCTCCTGCTCTCTCTAGCTCCCTTGTCTCCTGCTCTAATGCTCATCTCCAGAGCCTTCCCCATCCTCTGGAACTCTATTCCCCAATCTATCTGACTATAGCCTACTCTGCCCACTTTTAGGCGATCTCTGAAAACCTATCTCTTCAGGGAAGCCTATCATGCCTTCAGCTAATAACTGAATCTTCTATTTCTCCTATCAGTTCGTCCCCCACAATTATTACCTTTTGTACCACCAGCCTCTCCCTCTTAGATTGTAAGCTGCAAGAAGCAGGGCCCTCCTAACCCTCTTGTATTGAACTGTATCGTTGCTGTATTGTCTCCCTTTATATTATAAAGTGCTGAGCAAACTGTTGGCGTTATATAATAATAATTACTTTTTCTGGTAGATTGCAGCTTTTTTTGTGCATGAATATTTCTTCTAGTAGCACTACTTTATCCTACCAAAACATAACATATTGATCTTTAACTGCTGGAAAATGTGAACAATATGCTTTGTTGCTAGGAATGGTATTATGTGATGCATACAGCTAAAGATATTATGGTATATCTCCTGTGTTAGCCAATAAACAGGGTGATTTTGGCTCTGTGCTTTCTAAAGCAAAGGGGCTAATAGGTTTCTAGCAGAGCTGGACCAATTGGTGTCCATACAAGTTGCGTGCCTTTGGTTTATGACATGGAGACTAAAGAGGGACCCTACAGCAGCAGCCTTATGGTAATAGTACTTATAGTGCTACCTTGTTCTGAAAGTTTTGTTGGAGCATGGCACCTACTGGTTCTCAGTGTGCTCATGATAAGCAAATGGTAACAATTGTGGGGTTGCAGCAGTGGTGAAGTTGCAACAGCTTTTGCCTCAGGATCTCTTGGAGTGAGTGGCTATGTTAGCACTTGTAGTTCCAAACTAGGGTGACAGTGTTGGCTTGTTTGGCTCTGTGTTAGGTACATAGCTGACTGACAATATGGTTACTATGCCAAAATGTGTTTGTTTCTGTTTTACAGACAACTGCTCAGACTAATTGTGAACAGCTGAAAGTGTTTACAGACATCCAGCCAGAATAACACTGAACTGGCCTTGGGGGCAGTATAGTCTATTTTTGTCATTGATAATACTTTGTAATGGTGTTATCAGTTAACCTGTAACTATTGCGTGTGGCAGAAATAAAACTGATTTGCAAGGTTTAGGTTGAAGAAAAGATCAAGTAAGCAACATTTGTGCAAATCTGAGGGCACAAGGCTACAGCTGTCACCAGCAACCTCTACTGCTTGCCACACGACTCACTTCATTTGTATTTTTTTCCCCTGTAGCATTTCTGCAGCCTCTGACAAACTGCTGTAGCATGTTTTCAGCCTCTAACCATCTACTGTAGCATAAATGTAGTCTCTGTTCTGCAGAATGTCCTTAGCCTCTGCTAGCCTCCTGTAACATTTGCATTTTCTGACAGCTTGCTGTAGCATTTCTGAAGTCTCTGGCAGTCTTCTGTAGCATATCTTCAGCCTTCTAAGAATCTGCTGTAGCATATCTGTAGTCTCAGACAGTCTCCTGTAGCCTTTCTACAGCTTTTAACAACCCACTGTAGCATGTTTGAAGTCTCTAGCAGCCTTTTGTAGCATTTCTGCAGCCTCTAACATCCTGCTGCAGCATGTTTTCAGCCTTCGATGTCCTGCTTTATTATATCTGCAGCTTCTGGCAGTATCTTGAAACATGGCAGCAGTAAAAAGTAGTTACAGGTAGACATTTTTTTTATTGCAATACTGAACAAAAACATTTGTAATCAAAACATGTTTCCTCAAAATGTCCATGTCTAACTATGCTCAATGTGATAAAACGGTATACCTATTTAGCCATACATTATAACCGCACTTTCAATTTTTTGTGGCATACTTGTTTCATTTCCTCCCTCCTAACCACCCAGACCCATTTGATGGGAAGCTGCTTGCACAACTTTACATTATGTCACCTGCAGCTGAGCTCGCCCTGCTGCTTGGGGGGGTAATATAATGACTAGAGATGAGCGAATCGAACCTGGCGAAGTGGAATTCGTTTCGAATATCAGGAAAAATTTGATTCGCATCGAATCCGAATTTTAGCAAACTTCGGGTGCACGAATCGAATTTTTCCCGATCAGCCGGCAAAAGTGTCACTGCAGAGAGCTCCGCTATTTCTGACAGTTCTGACAGTTCATTTACAGCGGTTGAAACATTGTATCTATTTGTTTCCATTTAGGATACAGATGTTTTTATTCGGAAATAAATAGATACAATGTTTCAACCGCTGTAAATGTGAAGGAACTGTCAGAGAACTGTCAGAAATAGCGGAGCTCTCTGCAGATACACTTTTTGCTGTACTTTAATTCTTCTTCTTTTCATTCTTCTTCTTCTTTTCATTCTTCTTCTTCTTCTTTTCATTCTTCTTTTCATTCTTCTTCTTCTTCTTTTCATTCTTCTTCTTCTTCTTTTCATTCTTCTTTTCATTCTTCTTCTTCTTTTCATTCTTCTTTTCATTCTTCTTCTTTTCATTCTTCTACTTCTTTTCATTCTTCTTCTTCTTTTCATTCTTCTTTTCATTCTTCTTCTTCTTCTTTTCATTCTTCTTCTTCTTCTTTTCATTCTTCTTTTCATTCTTTTTCTTCTTCTTTTCATTCTTCTTCTTCTTCTTCTTTTCATTCTTCTTCTTTTCATTCTTCTTTTCATTCTTCTTCTTCTTCTTTTCATTCTTCTTCTTCTTCTTTTCATTCTTCTTTTCATTCTTCTTCTTCTTCTTTTCATTCTTCTTCTTTTCATTCTTCTTCTCATTCTTCTTTTCATTCTTCTTTTCATTCTTCTTCTCATTCTTCTTTTCATTCTTCTTCTTCTTCTTTTCATTCTTCTTCTTCTTCTTTTCATTCTTCT